AGCTGATGAGACCATTTTCCATTGTGACATGTGCTGGTTGCCCACCAACCCTTCATTGCTAGCGTACGTCCTTCGTTGCAGGTGTAGCTCAGCTTGGTGCCCTGAGAGTAAGTCTCTTGCTTTGGGGCAAAGAAGCCACCGTCCAGTGTGGGAGCATCACAGGCCTGTGTGGTGCTCTGTGCTGAAACACAACACTGAAGTAAGTGCAAAACATTATCAACCAGTGTAAATGTTTGTCTGTGAAGTTACTTGTTGTTCTCACCGTGCAGCACTCCAGGAAACCAAAGAAGAGCAAATGCAAAATATTTGATGCACATTTTTAAATCGTCCAACAACAAAGCAGCACCAGCAGTTAAAGGTAATCCACAGTGAGAACCAGCTACTTATCACAACTGTCACCCGAAAGTTTGTGCAATCACCTTGGCCCTTCCCATTTTGTGGGATGGAAAAAAGTTCGTACACATCCAAAACAACTTTTGAGAAAGAACGGGAGAAAAAATACTGTTTTCCCACAAACTTTTACTCAGATATGTGGTCTTTTTTTTTATTGAGGTTCTTTTTAAACATGAATAAAAGAAATATGGGAAAAATCTCAGCAACATCTATTTTTCATTGATTTTATTCATCACACATTGGTTCGTATGTTTGGAGCAGTTCTGAGCATTTTCCCTGAAGCCAACAAGAATCATTTACTTTGAAACATCAAATCAATGAAACTATTTACTGTCCAAATTTCAAAGTCACTTCCCGGACTCGATGGATCAGAGGCTGTATGTTTGACCTGATTGTGCAATTTATTCAGCTGCTTCTAAAAGTATATCTAACATTGCTAACATTTTTATGGTTTCCATCAAAGTTTACACACTACTTGAAATGACTGCGTAAGAAACATATATCTGTGTAGTAAGAAGCAATGATAATGTGGGTGATATATTCACTGTGTACATGACTCTAATGTGAGGATTAATGCAAGAAGTCAAAGTGATGCAGTTGAACCTTGGTGAGGTAAATAAAGTCACATTACTCCACCATTTTATTTTAAGCGAGCATCATTAAATTGCTAGGCTAGCATCGTGGTGAATGGAGGTGTAAGACTGGACTCATATTCTCTGCTCTAATACATCCCAAAGGTGTTCTGTCAGATTGAGGTCATGACTGTGAAGGTCAAAGTTGCTCATCTATGTCTTTATGGACCTTGCTTTCTGCACTGGTGCGCAGTCCTGTTCGAACAAGAAGCCTGTTCCATGAAACCTCTACGTGCTGTTCTTGAGCTGATCTAAAGCCGTCATGAAGGTTGGAGGTCTGTAACGATAAACTCTACAGAAAGTTGGTGACCTCTGCTGACTGTGTGCCTCAGCATTTGCTGGCCCCTTCTGTGTTTTTACGTGGTCTACCACTTTGTGGTTGAGTTGCTGTTGTTCCCAATCACTTCCACTTTGTTATAATACCACTGACAGCAGAGTGTAAAATATTTAATTGTGAAGAAATTTCACAACTGGACGTGTTGCACGGGTGGTACATCCTATCATATCACTGAGCTCTTGTGAGCGACTCATTCTTTCAAAAATGTTTGTAGACGTCTGGGTGCTGGATTTTATACACCTGTGGCCAAGTTTATTTGAGAAAAAGTTCAAGTATGCACTCTGTGACACTTCTAACAGGCCACAGTTTAACAGCCATACGTTTAAAACTTTAATGTCACAAATCTATTTTTCACTGCATTGTGGACAAATGCAGTACACAAAAACAAACAAACTGAAAAACAGATATAATGTGGAGGTACGTAATAACGACAGGAGAGGTCTCAGTGTCTCACTCCAACTTTATTAACTGACTCTCAGAACTTCACATATAGTAAGCGCCAAAATCTCCACCCCAACACTTCCCTTCAACTTGGGTGTGAGTGGAGCCACCTGGTGGTCCGCCACACATACCCCCCCGCTGAACACACAGTTAGGTCTCTATTCAGTCCAGGACCCTGGGTCTAAGCAAACGACCCGAACGACTGAACCTGGGAGGGAGAGAACAGGCAGAGGAAGGTCCATCCTGTGAACGAGGCTGGTGAAGGCGAGCAGGAAAGGCAGGAGGAGGCTCAAACGCCGGTGGTCCGGGGGTAGTCCTGGGGGGAAAACCAGAGTCTGTCAACCCCATCGAAGGAGGGCGGCCACGGCGAGGGGCCTGGGCCGGCACTACATTACTGTCCGGAAGAACATGTGCAGGTTTAAGTCTGTCAACACACACAGTCTCCCTTCGACCCCCAAAATCCAAAACAAAATGTTTCTGGCCCGGTTCAATAACCCTGAATGGGCCGTCATACAGCGGCCGCAGCGGTGTCCTGTGGGCATCGTGCCTGACAAAAACAAACTTAGCAGTCTCTAAAGTCTTTGGAACAAAGGTGTCAGGCACGCAATGGTGCACCGGACCAGGAACCCGAAGCGAGTGCAAAAGCGGGTTGAGAGATAGCACCGATGGATCGAAGCAGGGAGGAGGATTTTCGGGCAAGAATTCTCCAGGCACGCGGAGGGGCTGACCAAACACTAGCTCAGCTGGGGAAGCGCCGAGATCCTCCTTAACCGCAGAGCGCAGCCCAAGCAAAACCCACGGGAGGCGGTCAACCCAATTGCCATCCTTTAAGGAGGCGCGAAAAGCAGCGCCGACGCCCATTCCTTAACAGATTTGCGAAGGCCTGGCCAAACAAATTTAGAGCTGACCAGTTTAACAGAGGCCCGGACCCCTGGATGAGAGAGAGCATGTACCGAGTCAAAAACTTGACGACGCCAGGAAGCGGGAACCACTGGGCGAGGGCGGCCGGTGGAAACGTCACAGACGAGGAGGGGACCACCGTCCTGCACGGGTCTGTCCTCTAGTATGAGGCCCGTCTGGGTGGATTTAAGCGCGAGGATGTCCGGGTCACCGCTCTGATCGGCAGCCATGGCGGAGTAGTCTATGCCGAGAAAGACGGGAGAAACCAGCGCACGGGACAAACAGTCAGCCACATGATTGGATTTACCAGCCACGTGCCGAATGTCCGTGGTAAACTCAGAAATGGCTGCCAACTGGCGCTGCTGGCGTGCACTCCATGGATCAGAAACCTTGGACATGGCAAACGTCAAGGGTTTGTGGTCCACGTATGCGGTAAAGTGACGACCCTCGAGAAAAAACCGGAAATGACGAGTCGCCAGGTGGAGCGCCAGTAGCTCCCTGTCAAAAACGCTGTAATTGCGTTCGCTGTCACGTAGCGTACGGCTGAAAAAGGCGAGCGGTTGCCAGACACCCGAGATTCGCTGTTCCAGCACCGCACCCACCGCTATGTCCGACGCATCGGTGGTCAACGCAATCGGCGCTGAGGGGGATGGGTGGGCCAGAAGGGCAGCATTAGCTAACGCTGACTTAGCATCAGAAAACGCTTGGATGCTTTCCGGAAACCAGTCAACGGAGTCATTAGCTTTCTTACCTTTTAACGCCCCATAAAGGGGCTTCAGCAGATGTGCCGCTCTGGGGAGAAAACGGTTGTAAAAATTCACCATCCCCAAAAATTCCTGCAGTGCCTTAACATTCGTGGGACGCGGAAATTCCGAAACAGCTCGGACTTTGTCAGGCAACGGAACCGCGCCCTCGGCGGAAATACGGTGCCCAAGGAAATCGAGAACGGGCAACCCAAACTGGCATTTAGACGGATTAATAATCAGTCCATGCTCCGCCAAACGCTGAAAAACCTGACGCAGATGGAACATGTGCTGCTCCTTCGAGCTGCTGGCCACCAGTATATCATCAAGATATACAAAAACAAAGGGCAGCCCGCGCAAGACCGAGTCCATCAACCGCTGGAAGGTTTGGGCGGCACCTTTCAGGCCAAACGGCATGCGCAGAAACTCGAAAAGGCCGAAAGGTGTAATTACGGCGGTTTTGGGGACATCCTCCGCGCGCACGGGAACCTGGTGATATCCCCGTACCAAATCGATCTTCGAAAAAACCGAGGTCCCCGCAAGATGGGCGGAAAAATCTTGGATGTGGGGAATGGGATAACGATCGTTCTCTGTGACATTATTAAGACGGCGGAAATCCCCACAAGGTCGCCACCGACCATCAGATTTAGGCACCATGTGTAACGGAGAAGCCCAGGCACTGTTCGAACGCTGCACGATGCCCAGACGCTCCATGGTGAAGAGAAATCCTCCGTCATCCGCGCCCAGCAAGGACAGCATGCTCTCCATGAGCTCGAGAGCGGTGCCGTCGCCCAGGCCCGCGAGGGAAAGGAGTTTCTCGGCCCGCTCAGCATCAGAGAGGGAGTAACGCCGCAGCAGCAGCGCCTTGAGGGCGGCGTACTTGCCTTGGGCTGGGGGGTCCCGGAGGAGAGTCATCACGCGGCGGGTTGACAGCGGGTCAAGTGAGGCCACCACATGGTGGTATTTAGTATCGTCGGCTGAAACTCCACGAAGAGCAAACTGAGCTTCTACGTGCACGAACCATGAAGGAGGATCGTGAAGCCAAAAATCCGGCAATTTAAGCGCCACAGCAAACGCAGCCATCGGCGATGCTTCCAGGCCGGAGCTGGCTTTGTCATCGAGCCTTAGCATGTTCGCTACAGGGGTCACCAATGTGGAGGTATGTAATAACGACAGGAGAGGTCTCAGTGTCTCACTCCAACTTTATTAACTGACTCTCAGAACTTCACATATAGTAAGCGCCAAAATCTCCACCCCAGCACTTCCCTTCAACTTGGGTGTGAGTGGAGCCACCTGGTTGTCCGCCACAATACAATGGTTTTCTTATTTCTTCTTCTGCCTTTCAAGATGCACTGTAATAATTTCAGTTAAGTGCAGGCAGCAGCCTCAAGCAGAGAAGCCCACACCTCCCTCTCCCCAGCCACCTCCTCCAGCTTGTCCGGGGGAACACCAAGGTGTTCCCAGGCCAGGCCGAGAGATATAATCTCTCCAGCGTGTCCTGGGTCTGCCCCGGGGCCTCCTCCCTGGGACATGCCCGGAACACCTCACCCAGGAGGCATCCTTGTCACCGATGTGCTCCATCTTAGTCACTGTGAGCTTATGCATTAGGGCCCAAATGCAGGACTCAGAGGCTGCCATGATTTGAAAAAAATGAAATGAAGATCAAACTGAGGCCAATTTGCGAAGGTAGCAGCAAAACGAGAACATAGAATATTGAATGAAGTTGCCATGTTATGAGCAGAAAGAGGTGCTGGGCTGATCCAAGGGTGAGAGAAGGATACACCCTGGACAGGTAATCAGTCTGTCTGCAATTGTGGCGTATAAATTCAATTCAATTCACAACAACAGTTTCCTCAAGGCTCATTTTACATTTTTACACTTACACCTACGTTATCATGTGTATGTTCAGTAAGGACAATCTGTAAGTGTTCATCTGTCTGCTTTCTTGGCTGTTTGGCTGCTAGTCTCTTCATCACGTCACTTCCACTTTTTCACGGTGTCCTAGTCAGTGCTGACATCATTGCTCCAGTCCAATCATCTAATCTGATCTAATTGCTTTTACTTTTTCACACAAGGGCAGGGGGGTTTGAATAGCTTTATATCTCTTAATAAATGAAATCGTCATTTACAAACTGGATTTTGTATTTACTCAGGCTATGTGCAATATTAAAATATGAAAATGCTTTTTCACAGTATTGTTCCTGCATGTTTTAAGAATACTGTATTTCAGGGTTTACACATAAAAATTCAACCTTTATGCTGAGTCTAAGAAATCATTGTCCTGTTAACATAAATTACAAATTGTAAATTAATGTCAAAAGTGTTGGGAAAAGTGGTTTTGTTATGAATTCTTCTCAAATGAGATACAGCAACTATTTCAGTCAGACTTCAGAGCTTTTCATGTTCCTGAAAAAGATTTGTTGAAGGTGATCAATTATTTGTGACTCACATTAGATTCAGGAGATATCACAGCCCTCATTCTTTTGGACATTAGCTGCTTTCTGCTTTTGATATTGTGAAGCACAAGAATCTTTGGGCTTGGCTCAAATGCTGGGTTGGATATAAGAACTTTCTCTGTGTCTGATGGTCAGTTCTTTAAATCTTCTGCTCCTGTTTTTTGTGTGTTTCTTGGACCAGGACACCAAATGAGGGTTTTGTGCTGTCACAGACTGTTTGAAAATGTCAACCTGTGACAACTGTTAACTGTGTAAATTATAAAGTGTAATAATTCTGTTTAAATATTTCCCGAGATTATTTTCATGTTGGCTTAAAATAAAATATCTCCCTATGCTCTTACTGTCACGGCTGGCGGGGTGAGCCGTGTGGTGTTGGAGGAAAAGGAGGACCCAAAATGCAGCAGTGACTGATGATTCGAGTGACATTTATTTACAAGTGGTGGAGTGGCAAAAACAGGCAGTGAGGCATGACAAAACAACTGAAGAAACCTAAACTGGGAGAACTAAATGACAAACCTGAGAGCATACAAAAGGGGTGCGGGGCAGAGACAGGAACAAAACACCATAGAACGCAGACGAGCCGACAATGAACACAGGCCGACACCCACTAAATATACACACACGAGGTAATCACACACAGGAGGGAAGAACAGCTGAACCCAATACACATGATGACCGGAGGAGACAAGCTGAACACAATGACAACAGACACAGACCTTCAGAATAGAACAGGAAATCCAGAACACGAGCCTTCAAAGTAAAGCAGGAAACACACAGACTGATTTACAACACAACACGGGGACATGAACAGAGCACCGAGGACAGACACAGGTAGGGCTGATAAAACACTAAACTTCAGGTTCAACCCTAAACTAATACAAAATCAGAATAAACACAAGGCACAAAAATGAACTTCAAGGAAACACAAAACGCTGGGTCAAAATGATCCAGGACCATGACACTTACTGCATCTTCTGCATGCTTGTATGCACAATCTTATTCTTTTGGTCACTAACCAAAGCCAACACCATTATGAAGTAAAACAAATCAATAAACTTGTTCCTGTCTGTTTCCGTTATTGTTATTTATTAAACAACATTTTGATGTGCATAGTAAAAGAACTGTTCTACACAGTTAGCAGACAAAGCAATACAAAGACGTCTCTGATGATGAAACATTTTATTCAGACCTCAGCCAGCCATCGACACTTTATGGATTCAGTGTGCACATCATGTACTGAGTGCATGAAAAGTTCAAATCATTTATGGACAGTTTGGTGTTTAAAGAACAATCAGCCCCAAAACTGGACAAAGAAAAGAAACATGTTTCATTGTTGCTCTGCAGGTTCTGGTTGAAGTGTTTCAGAAAGGTTGTGCTGTCAGTAGGGTTCTCTGACTCTATGCAGTCAGGCTGATTAAAACACAAACAAACAACAGCTGAGTAAAAAACATCAAGCACATTTATTTCAAAGAAACTATATTTGTTTGAAAATAAATCAAAGAATAACACTTACATAATATTGAAATTGAGATGCAGTACAGCCTAAACAAGAAGCAGATAGTTTGTCAGTTAGAAGCTCAGATCCATAAACTTTATCAGTGAGGACTGATTCACTGCATTCAAAGATAAACCTGTGGAGGAAAATCCTCTCTGTTCTTAAAGAGCCAGACTGCTTTTATTCCTCATGTTTTACTTTTATTCCATATTAACATTTGTTGAACTTACTTCATTGTGTGTTTTGTAACCATAACAAACTGTTTTGTGGTGATTTGGGGGCAACTGGAACAAGTGTGGATGCTGCACACTAAATCACTTTGTTCCTGTGATAAAGAGTGAATCTCCTGCTTTGTGTGATGTGCTGGGACGAAGGCAGGTAGATGAGTTTGGCTGTTGGAAGCTGGGGACAACTCTACATAATACAACATGAAGTGAATGTGTCATTCCTATAGACAAACTTCAGCTGCAGCTTTTAACAAATCAGCAATGCTCTTTCAGTGTGTTCCTGTGTGGGAAATCTTTATTTTTTTATTTTTCTTTCACTATTTCTCTCGTTTGTGTATCAGGTCCCAGAGAAGAAATTTTCATACATGTTTGCTGCTAAAGGAAAATAGAAACTGAAAGAGTTAAAATGTAAAGAGATAAATACTTACATGTGGCCAAATATATTCTTCTGTTAGCACACTGAACTTTATATGTCTGTGTCTTCCAGTACAAGAAAAATATTTTTTTTCTCCTTCCCACATGTTTTCAAGTTCAGCTACTGCAACACCATAATGAGCATATCTAGTAGCATTCATTACACAGAACGCTCCTGCAATAAAATCAAAAAACAGTAAGAAGAATTTTTAGGTAGTATTTTTAATAAACTTTTGGAGTAAAAATTATTTTTTGAATTTTGATGTCCAGTGGTTCCTCTACCTGATGAGAGCAGATAACTCATTAGTTATATGGTACATGCTGCATTGATTTCATAAAGACATGGACTGCAAGGCAAATACACACTCATTCATATCTTATTTATGTCTAAAACCTGCCTCCACCTGAAGGTTGTCCCCCACTGACAGCGGGGTCGTGCTGTCCTCTGCCCATTCCCCCCAATGGTTGGTGACAAGAAGAGGTCACAGCACAAATGGCAACAGTTCATATTTTTAACCTACTCATTTAAGTCGTGAGTTTTATTCAGGTTTTCTTTCAGGTAAAAAAAAAAGTTAAAAAAAAAAAATGTAAAAATGTAATGGGTCAGAAGCACAAAGGGCTGTTTTATTAACATGGAGAATAATGAGATGATAACTTAGAGCTTCCTCAGATCTGTGATAAGGGTTGGGGTGAAAATTGAAGCCAAATAATCTACTAAGTGCTCAAAATTTATTAGTTGCCGTTTTCTTTTTTAATGCTTGTCTTGCAAGTCTTGTTTCTAAATCAAAAATGAGAGTCAAAAATAAATATCTGTGTACAAAAATGTTCCAATAGTCTAAGAGATGAGATGACTGGATCCACTAATTAATATGCTTCACTTACCCTCCGGTTGTTTACCACTGCCAGCTCCACTTTCTCTTCTGTCTAAATGAAAAACATGCTTTAGATTTAAAGTATACACAAACACAGAGATGAGGTGCACGGACAAAACGATTAAAAATGTACCTCCCCCCTCAGGCTGGACGTCTGTGTCTGATGCAGGGGGTCCCTGATCTGCTGATGATTCGTCTGCAGAACCGAAGATATTATTGAGACTATTCAGCTTAAAAGCAGCTTTAATGCTAACGTGCTCTGTCACATAAACTGTTGTTTACCTGCTGACTTGCAAATGAATTCAGAGCACAATTCAAGTAACAGTGGCAATCCTATCAGATTTATTCTCAAATTTTATACAAATTTTCAAACAAGACAAAAGTCCTACATCATTTCAGTTACTGCTGATAAAAGGTGTGGTTGTCATCCTATAAAAACTAAGCAGCCCATGTAAAGAAGAAAAAAGACCCCAAAAAAGGTAAATCTTCCCTGTTATGATGCTGACAGAATGTTGCCAAAGTAAAGCTTAATGTCTCTCAGACCTGGACTGCATTTATATAATTATATGGATTTTTATTTTTTCCACTTTCAATTTAGTGAGACCTTGTTGTATTTATTATGCAGCTTTTGTTTTGTTTGTTTGTTTTGAATTGCAGGGTTCATTTTTATTGTCATAAGCAGAAATAAATATTCTTGCAGGTCATTTGTCATCTTGCAACATTTGATCAACCTGCACCAGGAAAAAGTAAACAAAAAGCTGTCCCAAAGTGCAACTGCAATTTCAAAAGCCAATAATTCAGTTTCTACACATGCTGTGCATGAATCTCTTCTGATTAACGTACATATAGAAACTGGTTCCTTATAAACTTTGAGAAAAAATAAAATGAATTTTTTACACACTTACTGCATGTTGGCCCTGCAGTCCATTGTCCACGTTCACAAAAGATATTGTTGCCCTCTCGAGTATAACCTTCTTCACATTCATACTGCACTTCTGAACCTTCAGAAAACACCTCCTTGTATTGATGAATTATGACTGCATGAGAGATTTTTGGAGGCTCACTGCATGAATCCCTCCTTCCTGTGAGGAACAAAAAAACCTGTCATGAAGGTGACGAAGGTGGTGAGAAAGTGATTTGTTTGTGTGGGATCTGGCAGACTTACTCTCACAGACAGGCAAAGGGCTCCAGGTTCCACTTCTACACCTGGGGCTACGGTTGTCTTTGCGTTCATATCCATCGTCACATTGTACGAAAATAGAGTCCCGTTCTTTGTACCAACCGTCTTTTGCTTTATCATATTTTCCATGAGGTATTGTTGGGGGGAGGCAGGCATTTTGAGCTGAAGAAGATAAAAAACAACAAACTCATTTGATGACTTTCTTTAAACTGTATTTTACTTGTTTTCATATTATTCTTGTCCTCTAATTGATTCAAGATTCTTTATTTGTCACATGCATAGTTATACGACTACAACACGCAGTGAAATGTATCCTGACACGCTCCTCGATTGTTCTGATTTAGGACCCTGTTCTGTAAACAGAAGAAAGTAATATCACTCGTCAGACTCACACTAAGCTGTCAAGTAATTGCTGGGTTTGGTATGCATTACATTACTGTGTACTTTTAAATATTATACTACATATTAGAGTACAATTTAATAAAACAAATAACAAATAAGGATAATTTTTTATGGCTTCAAACTGAATGCATTACTTCTTTCATACAACAGCATCACTCCACATTGTTCTTTTAATGAACAGCTAACTGATGGTATTGAATAAAGTTCGCACTCCTGCAGATTTGTAGCGTCTAACTGAAACAAATTTGTTGAGATATTACTGAACACTTACCTATACACTGTGGTTTATGAACCCAATTCCCATCTTCACATCTGCTTGTCGCCCACCAACCCTCCACCACCGGTTTCCGTCCAGAATCACAAGCGTAAGTGAGCTCTTCTTTAAGAAAGTAAGTCTCTTTTTCAGGGACATAATAACCCCCATCCAGCACAGGAGCCCTGCAGACATTTTCATTTTGTGCTGAAAAAGTGATGAACAAGTAAGCAACTAGAGGAAAATGCACTTTTTAAAAATGTGTTTTTAAGTATGAAAATAGCAGGAAGTGAATTTAATATTCTTACCATGCGTCACTCCTGCAAACCAAATCAGAAGCACAAATCCAAGATAGCGCGCACACATCCTGTCAGGAGCTCAAATACTGCAGAGTAACGCAACAAACATGAGAGCACAGAGACGAGATAAAATCAGAGGTGGTTAATAATTATTTACGGAAACTCCCCCAAAATCTAACCATGCCTCTGCCCACATGCCCAAATGGAGCAAGCATCTAAAATCCAGTAAACTGGAGGGAAAAGTCAAACCTGTAGAGTTACATTTTTTCTTCCTTCAAATTGATTTCAGACGCACAGGAAAACTGTACGAGGAGGAACGTACTGACCAGCATTGCAAAAATACTTGCTTCTGTACAATTATAGTTGCAGACTCTCTGTGCACCTTTAGTTTGAGCTTCTAATTTCTAATTTAATGTTGACTTTTGGTTTTATAACTGTAATGCCAGCGTGTCTGTGTTTGTATGCGTGTGTGTGTGTGTGTGGTGGGCTGGGTTACTCTATATATCGTCCAGGATTCAGCCTTGTTTGGAACAGCTCTCACAACAGTTTGTTTAGAGTGCGCATTTCAAAATGATTTCCCGGACTGCCGTGATCAGAGGTCACGGTTTTGTTGTTTTGAAATACCAAACACAGCCAAGCCAAAGGTCAGGCTGGAGTAACACAGGTGAAAGGCAAAAAAGTGAAAACATGTTATAAAATAAGGAGGAATAATGATTTAGGGTTAGATTATTACTGATGACTGTAATGCGATCCTTTAGTTTGTGTGTGATCACCATCTCCTGGATCTTCATGGGCTCTGCATTAAAGTGCTGGTGGGAAAATTGGATTTCTGGCTATAATTTCAAATGGCAAAGAAAACATAAAACATCCCATAAAAGAGCAAATATTTTTAACAGCGAATATGTTGACATCATTTTGTGTCACATGACATATGTAAAGGTTGTCCTGCTTTGACCTTATTCGCTGCTTCTGCTCCAACAAATTCAACTGATGTCATCAAATTAATCAGTTAAATATTATATATGTGCAATGCTGTAATACTTAGCTCAGGACAAGCATAGCAATGCTAGAGCTTGACCTGTAACTGCACACATTAGTACAAAAACTGAGGCTCAGCATCAGCCACTTGATGTTAGCTGACCCTGCAGATCCAATGATAGGATTTGTATAGAAAACAATGGCTGAATGAAAGCACTTTACCACCTTTACATTTTAATGAGGAGATTTTAGGATGGTACATTCTCAAAGAAAGGCAGGAAAATAAATGTATCATAATGTCATGCTCTTGGTTGATTTGAGTGTTTTTAAATGCATCTGTATTCTCGCATCGCCCTTTTTCTCCCTGTTGATGATCCAGGGAACATCTTCAGGCAACATTTCTGTTACTACTTTTGATTCTAATGAATCTGTAACTTTCTAATTTCAGGGCTGGAAAATGGCATACATGGTGTTTCAAAACGAGAAGAAATGAAAGAGCACAACTTCACTCTCTGAGCTGCTTTTTTGGGATACTCCTTTATTTATTTATTTCATGGAAAAAGCTCTGCTATGATTTGAACATTACTTTTAAGTTCCTGAAACGGGTTCAAAGCTGCAGACAGACGCTGAGAACAAAAGAACACCAGTTGCACAGAAGCATCGACAATGTGTGAAAAATATATTTGTATCCAGCGGAAACGGCTGACACTCAAAAACAACATTTTGCATGCATCCATCCATTTTCTTCTGCGCATGCGATTCAGGGTCGCTGACAGGCCGGAGCCTATCGCAACTGTCGCAGGGCGAGAGGCAGGGTACACCCCGCACAGGTCACCAGCCAGTCACAAGGCCACAGAGGGGCCAACACGCTCAGATGTTCACATCTTGCCAATTTAGAATCACCAGTTAATATTTAATTGTCACTTTTGTAAAATCAATAAATAAAAATCATTCACTGTGAAAAAAAGAAAATAAATTGCGAGTAGAGTTTGATGGAAAGAATAGTCCAGACACTTCAATTTGATCCAAGGATCTGCTGGAAAATCTGCATCTCAGTGCCAAATTGCATGCATTTCCAGTCACAAAGAGACAAATTTAACTGGGATGGGAAGTGTTCCAAGTGTTCCAGCCTTTGCTGTCCAAAACGAACACTAGGGTGGAATAAACGGACTCAATGATCCTTTTCCTTCTAGTTGCATCCACTCCTTCAGCCAGCACTCTATTCTCTGCCTTGTAGGCGCTTACTAACTATCACACATGTTCAAAGTCGAATAGCAGGAAAATAAGATGTTCAGTGTCTTGCTCAAGAACACTTCAGACTGAAGAATCAAATCACCAACCCTCCAAAAAGGTGGAGGAGCCACTCTACTCCTGTGCACAGCAAAACAATTGTTTGCCAATGAACATATAAGAAAACATTGGATTTTCCCTCTGGATAGTTATGTGAGAGAATCAAAAATCAGACTTTCAGTAGGATAATAATACTAATCTTAAATCCATGGCTCAAAAAGAAGAAAGGGGAAGATAATGTGGGTGATATATTCACTGTGTACATGACTCTAATGTGAGGATTAATGCAAGAAGTCAAAGTGATGCAGTTGAACCTTGGTGAGGTAAATAAAGTCACATTACTCCACCATTTTATTTTAAGCGAGCATCATTAAATTGCTAGGCTAGCATCGTGGTGAATGGAGGTGTAAGACTGGACTCCTATTCTCTGCTCTAATACATCCCAAAGGTGTTCTGTCAGATTGAGGTCATGACTGTGAAGGTCAAAGTTGCTCATCTATGTCTTTATGGACCTTGCTTTCTGCACTGGTGCGCAGTCCTGTTCGAACAAGAAGCCTGTTCCATGAAACCTCTACGTGCTGTTCTTGAGCTGATCTAAAGCCGTCATGAAGGTTGGAGGTCTGTAACGATAAACTCTACAGAAAGTTGGTGACCTCTGCTGACTGTGTGCCTCAGCATTTGCTGGCCCCTTCTGTGTTTTTACGTGGTCTACCACTTTGTGGTTGAGTTGCTGTTGTTCCCAATCACTTCCACTTTGTTATAATACCACTGACAGCAGAGTGTAAAATATTTAATTGTGAAGAAATTTCACAACTGGACGTGTTGCATGGGTGGTACATCCTATCATATCACTGAGCTCTTGTGAGCGACTCATTCTTTCAAAAATGTTTGTAGACGTCTGGGTGCTGGATTTTATACACCTGTGGCCAAGTTTATTTGAGAAAAAGTTCAAGTATGCACTCTGTGACACTTCTAACAGGCCACAGTTTAACAGCCATACGTTTAAAACTTTAATGTCACAAATCTATTTTTCACTGCATTGTGGACAAATGCAGTACACAAAAACAAACAAACTGAAAAACAGATATAATGTGGAGGTACGTAATAACGACAGGAAAGGTCTCAGTGTCTCACTCCAACTTTATTAACTGACTCTCAGAACTTCACATATAGTAAGCGCCAAAATCTCCACCCCAGCACTTCCCTTCAACTTGGGTGTGAGTGGAGCCACCTGGTTGTCCGCCACAATACAATGGTTTTCTTATTTCTTCTTCTGCCTTTCAAGATGCACTGTAATAATTTCAGTTAAGTGCAGGCAGCAGCCTCAGCAGAGAAGCCCACACCTCCCTTGCCCCAGCCACCTCCTCTACCTTGTCTGGGGGAACACCAAGGTGTTCCCAGGCCAGGCTGAGAGGTGTAATCTCTCCAGCGTGTCCTGGGTCTGCCCCAGGGCCTCCATCCATTGGGACATGCCCGGAACACCTCACCCAGGAGGCATCCTTGTCAGTCCTGGCATGTGAAATATTTCTCCATCTTAGTCACTGTGAGCTTATGCATTAGGGCCCAAATGCAGGACTCAGAGGCTGCCATGATTTGAAAAAAATGAAATGAAGATCAAACTGAGGCCAATTTGCGAAGGTAGCAGCAAAACGAGAACATAGAATATTGAATGAAGTTGCCATGTTATGAGCAGAAAGAGGTGCTGGGCTGATCCAAGGGTGAGAGAAGGATACACCCTGGACAGGTAATCAGTCTGTCTGCAATTGTGGCGTATAAATTCAATTCAATTCACAACAACAGTTTCCTCAAGGCTCATTTTACATTTTTACACTTACACCTACGTTATCATGTGTATGTTCAGTAAGGACAATCTGTAAGTGTTCATCTGTCTGCTTTCTTGGCTGTTTGGCTGCTAGTCTCTTCATCACGTCACTTCCACTTTTTCACGGTGTCCTAGTCAGTGCTGACATCATTGCTCCAGTCCAATCATCTAATCTGATCTAATTGCTTTTACTTTTTCACACAAGGGCAGGGGGGTTTGAATAGCTTTATATCTCTTAATAAATGAAATCGTCATTTACAAACTGGATTTTGTATTTACTCAGGCTATGTGCAATATTAAAATATGAAAATGCTTTTTCACAGTATTGTTCCTGCATGTTTTAAGAATACTGTATTTCAGGGTTTACACATAAAAATTCAACCTTTATGCTGAGTCTAAGAAATCATTGTCCTGTTAACATAAATTACAAATTGTAAATTAATGTCAAAAGTGTTGGGAAAAGTGGTTTTGTTATGACTTCTTCTCAAATGAGATACAGCAACTATTTCAGTCAGACTTCAGAGCTTTTCATGTTCTTGAAAAAGATTTGTTGAAGGTGATCAATTATTTGTGACTCACATTAGATTCAGGAGATATCACAGCCCTCATTCTTTTGGACATTAGCTGCTTTCTGCTTTTGATATTGTGAAGCACAAGAATCTTTGGGCTTGGCTCAAATGTTGGGTTGGATATAAGAACTTTCTTTGTCTGATGGTCAGTTTATCAAATCTTCTGCTCCTGTTTCTTGGACCAGGACACCAAATGAGGGTTTTGTGCCATCACAGACCTCTGACATTTTAAGCCTAAATATCAGTTGGACACATATCTACTAAAAATCTGTGTTTAAATATAAATGTGTTAATAATATCTGTTTAAATTATTTCCCGAGATTATTTTCATGTTGGCTTAAAATAAAATATCTCCCTATGCTCTTACTGTCACGGCTGGCGGGGTGAGCCGTGTGGTGTTGGAGGAAAAGGAGGACCCAAAATGCAGCAGTGACTGATGATTCGAGTGACATTTATTTACAAGTGGTGGAGTGGCAAAAACAGGCAGTGAGGCATGACAAAACAACTGAAGAAACCTAAACTGGGAGAACTAAATGACAAACCTGAGAGCATACAAAAGGGGTGCGGGGCAGAGACAGGAACAAAACACCATAGAACGCAGACGAGCCGACAATGAACACAGGCCGACACCCACTAAATATACACACACGAGGTAATCACACACAGGAGGGAAGAACAGCTGAACCCAATACACATGATGACCGGAGGAGACAAGCTGAACACAATGACAACAGACACAGACCTTCAGAATAGAACAGGAAATCCAGAACACGAGCCTTCAAAGTAAAGCAGGAAACACACAGACTGATTTACAACACAACACGGGGACATGAACAGAGCACCGAGGACAGACACAAGTAGGGCTGATAAAACACTAAACTTCAGGTTCAACCCTAAACTAATACAAAATCAGAATAAACACAAGGCACAAAAATGAATTTCAAGGAAACACAAAACGCTGGGTCAAAATGATCCAGGACCATGACACTTACTGCATCTTCTGCATGCTTGTATGCACAATCTTATTCTTTTGGTCACTAACCAAAGCCAACACCATTATGAAGTAAAACAAATCAATAAACTTGTTCCTGTCTGTTTCCGTTATTGTTATTTATTAAATAATATTTTGATGTGCATAGTAAAAGAACTGTTCTACACAGTTAGCAGACAAAGCAATACAAAGACGTCTCTGATGATGAAACATTTTATTCAGACCTCAGCCAGCCATCGACACTTTATGGATTCAGTGTGCACATCATGTACTGAGTGCATGAAAAGTTCAAATCATTTATGGACAGTTTGGTGTTTAAAGAACAATCAGCCCCAAAACTGGACAAAGAAAAGAAACATGTTTCATTGTTGCTCTGCAGGTTCTGGTTGAAGTGTTTCAGAAAGGTTGTGTTGTCAGTTGGGTTCTCTGACTCTATTGCAGTCAGGCTGATTAAAACACAAACAAACAACAGCTGAGTAAAAAACATCAAGCACATTTATTTCAAAGAAACTATATTTGTTTGAAAATAAATCAAAGAATAACACTTACATAATATTGAAATTGATTTGCATTACAGCCTAAACAAGAAGCAGATAGTTTGTCAGTTAGAAGCTCAGATCCATAAACTTTATCAGTGAGGACTGATTCACTGCATTCAAAGATAAACCTGTGGAGGAAAATCCTCTCTGTTCTTAAAGAGCCAGACTGCTTTTATTCCTCATGTTTTACTTTTATTCCATATTAACATTTGTTGAACTTACTTCATTGTGTGTTTTGTAACCATAACAAACTGTTTTGTGGTGATTTGGGGGCAACTGGAACAAGTGTGGATGCTGCACACTAAATCACTTTGTTCCTGTGATAAAGAGTGAATCTCCTGCTTTTTGTGATGTGCTGGGACAAAGGTAGATAGAGGAGTTTGGCTGTTGGAAGCTGGGAATGACTCTCCATACAACAACATGAAGCGGGGGTGTCATTCCTATAGACAAACATCAGCTGCAGCTTTTAACAAATCAGCAATGCTAGGTTTCTATTTCAATATGTTCCTGTGTGGGAAATTTTATTTACTTTTCTTTCACTATTCCTCTTGTTTGTGTATCAGATCCCAGAGAAGAAATTTTGTTTGCTGCCAAACAAAAAAAAGAAACTCAAAGAGTTAAAATGTAAAGAGATAAATACTTACATCTGGTGAAATCTAGCCTTCTGTTAGTACACCGAACATGGATATATTTGTCTCTTGCAGTACAAGGAAAATATTTTCTTTGTCCTTCCCACATGTTTTCAGGTTCAGCTGCAGCAACACCATAATGAGCATATCTAGTAGCATTCATTACACAGAACGCTCCTGCAATAAAATCAAAAAACAGTAAGAAGAATTTTTAGGTAGTATTTTTAATAAACTTTTGGAGTAAAAATTATTTTTTGAATTTTGATGTCCAGTGGTTCCTCTACCTGATGAGAGCAGATAACTCATTAGTTATATGGTACATGCTGCATTGATTTCATAAAGACATGGACTGCAAGGCAAATACACACTCATTCATATCTTATTTATGTCTAAAACCTGCCTCCACCTGAAGGTTGTCCCCCACTGACAGCGGGGTCGTGCTGTCCTCTGCCCATTCCCCCCAATGGTTGGTGACAAGAAGAGGTCACAGCACAAATGGCAACAGTTCATATTTTTAACCTACTCATTTAAGTCGTGAGTTTTATTCAGGTTTTCTTTCAGGTAAAAAAAAAAGTTAAAAAAAAAAAATGTAAAAATGTAATGGGTCAGAAGCACAAAGGGCTGTTTTATTAACATGGAGAATAATGAGATGATAACTTAGAGCTTCCTCAGATCTGTGATAAGGGTTGGGGTGAAAATTGAAGCCAAATAATCTACTAAGTGCTCAAAATTTATTAGTTGCCGTTTTCTTTTTTAATGCTTGTCTTGCAAGTCTTGTTTCTAAATCAAAAATGAGAGTCAAAAATAAATATCTGTGTACAAAAATGTTCCAATAGTCTAAGAGATGAGATGACTGGATCCACTAATTAATATGCTTCACTTACCCTCCGGTTGTTTACCACTGCCAGCTCCACTTTCTCTTCTGTCTAAATGAAAAACATGCTTTAGATTTAAAGTATACACAAACACAGAGATGAGGTGCACGGACAAAACGATTAAAAATGTACCTCCCCCCTCAGGCTGGACGTCTGTGTCTGATGCAGGGGGTCCCTGATCTGCTGATGATTCGTCTGCAGAACCGAAGATATTATTGAGACTATTCAGCTTAAAAGCAGCTTTAATGCTAACGTGCTCTGTCACATAAACTGTTGTTTACCTGCTGACTTGCAAATGAATTCAGAGCACAATTCAAGTAACAGTGGCAATCCTATCAGATTTATTCTCAAATTTTATACAAATTTTCAAACAAGACAAAAGTCCTACATCATTTCAGTTACTGCTGATAAAAGGTGTGGTTGTCATCCTATAAAAACTAAGCAGCCCATGTAAAGAAGAAAAAAGACCCCAAAAAAGGTAAATCTTCCCTGTTATGATGCTGACAGAATGTTGCCAAAGTAAAGCTTAATGTCTCTCAGACCTGGACTGCATTTATATAATTATATGGATTTTTATTTTTTCCACTTTCAATTTAGTGAGACCTTGTTGTATTTATTATGCAGCTTTTGTTTTGTTTGTTTGTTTTGAATTGCAGGGTTCATTTTTATTGTCATAAGCAGAAATAAATATTCTTGCAGGTCATTTGTCATCTTGCAACATTTGATCAACCTGCACCAGGAAAAAGTAAACAAAAAGCTGTCCCAAAGTGCAACTGCAATTTCAAAAGCCAATAATTCAGTTTCTACACATGCTGTGCATGAATCTCTTCTGATTAACGTACATATAGAAACTGGTTCCTTATAAACTTTGAGAAAAAATAAAATGAATTTTTTACACACTTACTGCATGTTGGCCCTGCAGTCCATTGTCCACGTTCACAAAAGATATTGTTGCCCTCTCGAGTATAACCTTCTTCACATTCATACTGCACTTCTGAACCTTCAGAAAACACCTCCTTGTATTGATGAATTATGACTGCATGAGAGATTTTTGGAGGCTCACTGCATGAATCCCTCCTTCCTGTGAGGAACAAAAAAACCTGTCATGAAGGTGACGAAGGTGGTGAGAAAGTGATTTGTTTGTGTGGGATCTGGCAGACTTACTCTCACAGACAGGCAAAGGGCTCCAGGTTCCACTTCTACACCTGGGGCTACGGTTGTCTTTGCGTTCATATCCATCGTCACATTGTACGAAAATAGAGTCCCGTTCTTTGTACCAACCGTCTTTTGCTTTATCATATTTTCCATGAGGTATTGTTGGGGGGAGGCAGGCATTTTGAGCTGAAGAAGATAAAAAACAACAAACTCATTTGATGACTTTCTTTAAACTGTATTTTACTTGTTTTCATATTATTCTTGTCCTCTAATTGATTCAAGATTCTTTATTTGTCACATGCATAGTTATACGACTACAACACGCAGTGAAATGTATCCTGACACGCTCCTCGATTGTTCTGATTTAGGACCCTGTTCTGTAAACAGAAGAAAGTAATATCACTCGTCAGACTCACACTAAGCTGTCAAGTAATTGCTGGGTTTGGTATGCATTACATTACTGTGTACTTTTAAATATTATACTACATATTAGAGTACAATTTAATAAAACAAATAACAAATAAGGATAATTTTTTATGGCTTCAAACTGAATGCATTACTTCTTTCATACAACAGCATCACTCCACATTGTTCTTTTAATGAACAGCTAACTGATGGTATTGAATAAAGTTCGCACTCCTGCAGATTTGTAGCGTCTAACTGAAACAAATTTGTTGAGATATTACTGAACACTTACCTATACACTGTGGTTTATGAACCCAATTCCCATCTTCACATCTGCTTGTCGCCCACCAACCCTCCACCACCGGTTTCCGTCCAGAATCACAAGCGTAAGTGAGCTCTTCTTTAAGAAAGTAAGTCTCTTTTTCAGGGACATAATAACCCCCATCCAGCACAGGAGCCCTGCAGACATTTTCATTTTGTGCTGAAAAAGTGATGAACAAGTAAGCAACTAGAGGAAAATGCACTTTTTAAAAATGTGTTTTTAAGTATGAAAATAGCAGGAAGTGAATTTAATATTCTTACCATGCGTCACTCCTGCAAACCAAATCAGAAGCACAAATCCAAGATAGCGCGCACACATCCTGTCAGGAGCTCAAATACTGCAGAGTAACGCAACAAACATGAGAGCACAGAGACGAGATAAAATCAGAGGTGGTTAATAATTATTTACGGAAACTCCCCCAAAATCTAACCATGCCTCTGCCCACATGCCCAAATGGAGCAAGCATCTAAAATCCAGTAAACTGGAGGGAAAAGTCAAACCTGTAGAGTTACATTTTTTCTTCCTTCAAATTGATTTCAGACGCACAGGAAAACTGTACGAGGAGGAACGTACTGACCAGCATTGCAAAAATACTTGCTTCTGTACAATTATAGTTGCAGACTCTCTGTGCACCTTTAGTTTGAGCTTCTAATTTCTAATTTAATGTTGACTTTTGGTTTTATAACTGTAATGCCAGCGTGTCTGTGTTTGTATGCGTGTGTGTGTGTGTGTGGTGGGCTGGGTTACTCTATATATCGTCCAGGATTCAGCCTTGTTTGGAACAGCTCTCACAACAGTTTGTTTAGAGTGCGCATTTCAAAATGATTTCCCGGACTGCCGTGATCAGAGGTCACGGTTTTGTTGTTTTGAAATACCAAACACAGCCAAGCCAAAGGTCAGGCTGGAGTAACACAGGTGAAAGGCAAAAAAGTGAAAACATGTTATAAAATAAGGAGGAATAATGATTTAGGGTTAGATTATTACTGATGACTGTAATGCGATCCTTTAGTTTGTGTGTGATCACCATCTCCTGGATCTTCATGGGCTCTGCATTAAAGTGCTGGTGGGAAAATTGGATTTCTGGCTATAATTTCAAATGGCAAAGAAAACATAAAACATCCCATAAAAGAGCAAATATTTTTAACAGCGAATATGTTGACATCATTTTGTGTCACATGACATATGTAAAGGTTGTCCTGCTTTGACCTTATTCGCTGCTTCTGCTCCAACAAATTCAACTGATGTCATCAAATTAATCAGTTAAATATTATATATGTGCAATGCTGTAATACTTAGCTCAGGACAAGCATAGCAATGCTAGAGCTTGACCTGTAACTGCACACATTAGTACAAAAACTGAGGCTCAGCATCAGCCACTTGATGTTAGCTGACCCTGCAGATGCAATGATAGGATTTGTATAGAAAACAATGGCTGAATGAAAGCACTTTACCACCTTTACATTTTAATGAGGAGATTTTAGGATGGTACATTCTCAAAGAAAGGCAGGAAAATAAATGTATCATAATGTCATGCTCTTGGTTGATTTGAGTGTTTTTAAATGCATCTGTATTCTCGCATCGCCCTTTTTCTCCCTGTTGATGATCCAGGGAACATCTTCAGGCAACATTTCTGTTACTACTTTTGATTCTAATGAATCTGTAACTTTCTAATTTCAGGGCTGGAAAATGGCATACATGGTGTTTCAAAACGAGAAGAAATGAAAGAGCACAATTTCACTCTCTGAGCTGCTTTTTTGGGATACTCCTTTATTTATTTATTTCATGGAAAAAGCTCTGCTATGATTTGAACATTACTTTTAAGTTCCTGAAACGGGTTCAAAGCTGCAGACAGACGCTGAGAACAAAAGAACACCAGTTGCACAGAAGCATCGACAATGTGTGAAAAATATATTTGTATCCAGCGGAAACGGCTGACACTCAAAAACAACATTTTGCATGCATCCATCCATTTTCTTCTGCGCATGCGATTCAGGGTCGCTGACAGGCCGGAGCCTATCGCAACTGTCGCAGGGCGAGAGGCAGGGTACACCCCGCACAGGTCACCAGCCAGTCACAAGGCCACAGAGGGGCCAACATGCTCAGATGTTCACATCTTGCCAATTTAGAATCACCAGTTAATATTTAATTGTCACTTTTGTAAAATCAATAAATAAAAATCATTCACTGTGAAAAAAAGAAAATAAATTGCGAGTAGAGTTTGATGGAAAGAATAGTCCAGACACTTCAATTTGATCCAAGGATCTGCTGGAAAATCTGCATCTCAGTGCCAAATTGCATGCATTTCCAGTCACAAAGAGACAAATTTAACTGGGATGGGAAGTGTTCCAAGTGTTCCAGCCTTTGCTGTCCAAAACGAACACTAGGGTGGAATAAACGGACTCAATGATCCTTTTCCTTCTAGTTGCATCCACTCCTTCAGCCAGCACTCTATTCTCTGCCTTGTAGGCGCTTACTAACTATCACACATGTTCAAAGTCGAATAGCAGGAAAATAAGATGTTCAGTGTCTTGCTCAAGAACACTTCAGACTGAAGAATCAAATCACCAACCCTCCAAAAAGGTGGAGGAGCCACTCTACTCCTGTGCACAGCAAAACAATTGTTTGCCAATGAACATATAAGAAAACATTGGATTTTCCCTCTGGATAGTTATGTGAGAGAATCAAAAATCAGACTTTCAGTAGGATAATAATACTAATCTTAAATCCATGGCTCAAAAAGAAGAAAGGGAAGTTTACTGAATGGCAAAGGTCAAAGTTAAATATTCTAACTTGTGTTCATGTAAGACGGCCTTGAAGGAAGTTTAACGAAGTGGTCAATGCAGATTGACTCCAGATGCCTCATATTTGATGTTGTGTTACCAGTCAGACAGAAACCTTTGGAGCAGCTCTTCAATCGCTCACAGTGTGGGCACTGGGTACTCTGACCGCTGCTGATCAAGTCCTCGTTGGTTCTCATTCACCTAGGAAGCATCCTCTATGTAGGTTTCATCCACCAATACAGCTGGAGGAGAAATACTGGGGTAGACAGGCCCACACTTAGTGGGATTTGCTGTAAATGAATTGCAGCTAGCCAGACGTTGAAAAAGTACAGAGATTCTGTATTTAAGTAGAAGTACAGATACTAGTGTTTAAAAATACTCCAGTAAAAGTTGAAGTACTGATTCCACTTCCTTACTCAAGTGAAAGTGAAAAAGTACTGAAATGTACTCAGAGTAAAAGTAGCTCTGTGAAACACATTTCTACCAGCTGCTTCTATGCAAAACTAACTGAACCTTGTTTTTTATTAATGTAATAAAAAAATAATATTAGGAAATGGAAATACAAACTTTATTTTAGTCTAAATTTTAATACTAGTAAATATTCTCATTTTGAATCAGTGAAGCAGAACATGAGCAGAGAAAAAAAATCTGTTTTCTGTTGGCTACGTTGTAGAGGATGACTCTGCATCTAAGCAAAAAATGAGCACAGTCAGGGGCTGAAGTGTGACTGAGCACGTGGGGGAACGCTAAAATCGTTCTTAATGGCTCAGTGTGGGCAAAAGAATCACAGCACACAATAATTCTATTGAGAGCTCCAGTAGATTTTCTTAGTGTACAGGCTGTGATCAGCTGACACAAGGTGTCAGCAGATGTTTCGTGAGTTGTTCTGGCTAATTTCCATTCTCTATACAATACACAGTTTATGCTGTCTTTATATTAGACACTATAAAGTTGGTATGAAGGTGGAATTCAGTGATTGCATCTCAGCATCATCAGTTTAACTGTGCACCGGTCACACACTGTTCTTTACTTTAAACCCATCACAGTGCAGCAAACCACAGCGAGTCTACCTCAGTTCGTTTTGCAGCAGGTTTCACAACATGAACAAAAGCATATTGTCACACGCACAAACCCGATATCCAGTTTAAAAAAACGAGGACTTACATGTAAGCTTTAAATTTCCAACACCACTGATCAGTCCTTATCTTTAAATATAAACATTTCTTCTTTCTTTCCTGTCTTTGTCATCTTTCTCCATCTCTGAGTGAAGTTCGCGCCCTTTCTTTTCTCTCCCCGTGAAAACAGCAGCTGGACCTTTAGCTCGCAACACTGTGCTACAAACTGCACACAAACTGTTCGTGTGTTTGCTGATGTTTATTGATCTGATAGAAACATTGCATTTGAAATTACCTGCCACAGCATCTTGCATATTCCCCTATGTGAAGTCTGAAAGGCCGAGGGCCGTGGGAACGAAAGTGCTTTACTGTCAGGGGACCACGATTAACAGGCAGAGCCTAAAGAGGCGACAACTCAGGTCACAAAAAAAATAAATCAATGAACCTGTGTTTGTCCCACCTGAGATGGTGTTTTGAGTTCATTTATGGAGGAGTTTGAGTGGGTTTAACAGGATTTTTGTGAATTACGTGTTTATTTTTATGTTAAAATGTTAATGTAAAATAAAATGAAACCAGCACTTATGTCACTGTGTTTTCTCATGTGCTGCTGTGTTTCTGCCCACCTGGTGGAGTCCAATACCGACTCTTCCTTTGAGCTCTTTGTTTAAGCCCTGTCAGAAATGTCGGGCTCTTCACATGTTAATAAAGCTCCTCTGTCGGCTCCTTGGTCCTGGAAGGCATGTAGGAGAATGTGGATGAATGTGGAAATCACATGCACTCTATCCAGTTTAAACATCCTCCAGTCCCAATGAGGTTATCCCTAATCCTTAGGAAGCCAATCACGGCCGTCACAGATCACTTGTTCTATACTCGTGGATTTGTTTTAGTTCGTATTTTGATTATGAAGTCATCAAACCACGAGCAGATTATTAACTGCAACAGTAAAATGTGTTAGAATTGTTTATTGTAGCTACTTTTCACAAGACATTATGTAACAGTGCTGGAGCCACACAGTAAAACTGCATCTGTGTTCAGCCTCATTAACCACACAATGTATTTCAGGTGACATGGAGAAATGAAACTAACATTAAACTACTGAGATAGAAGAATAATGAAATAAGCACTACCCACGTTCAGCAGACTGCACACAAGCACTTGTTTCTCAGAGGCTTTATTGTCTATTTTCATGTGATGTTTTAAAGCAATATTCTCCATAATTTCTCTCATCTAGCACAACACCAACAAAAAAGGAGTTTAACAAGGTCATTGCATGACCAAGACGTGTGCAGAGCTGTCAAAAACTGAACTAGGCATTGACTGCTTGACTGAGATCATTTTAACTGAGTGAGAGCAGAGGAGCAATCTAACTTAAGAACACATTTACCTGCACTCCCCTTTCTGCTCAAGGAGTTTTGGCTCTCACAGATTTGATCACATATGTACATTCAGACCACAAACACCCAAAATTTAAAAAAAAGAAAAAAAAAAAAAAAAAAAGAAA